TAGTAGTAGTAGCAGTAGTAGCGACACGACAAGTTTCAGTGGCAGTAGATGTAGGTGTCGTGGTAGAAGGAGTAGTGCTCGCAGTAGTAGTAGTAGTAGTAGTAGGATTAGGAGGCAGAGCAGCAGTAGCACGATGAGTAGTAGCAGCAGTAGTTGTAGTAGACCTCGTAGTAGCAGTAGAAGTAGTAGTGCGAGTAGTACTAGTAGGAGTCGTCGTAGTAGTCGTTGTAGTCGTTGTAGGAAATGTAGACGCAGTAGTGGTCGTGTCATCGCCGACGAGGAACCCCAGCGAAGCATGCCGACAGTTGTCTGGTGCAAGCATCTGTCTGTTTCCCTGTGCGTGTGTTCTACGGTCCGATGCTGGAGGAGTCGGAAGAGGAGGCGGGAGGGAAGGAGTTGGGAGGCAAGACTGAGGGCGGCCGTCGTCGAAACCAGCGATCTTTCCCGACCAGCGTTGTTGTCGTTGCCACTCTGGCTTCTAGTATTGGAGTGTGGCTGTGAGCTTCGCTCCGCCTACCCGTAAAAGTCTCCGCATACTAGCATCACCTTTGCGGTTGGCATGGAGAAGCGCCTGTGGTTTGTTGTGCTTTTGCTTGCCACGGGGGCTCCTGGAAACGAGCGCGCAGAATATTGGTAGCCGGCACTCTCGCTTCATGTTGAGCTTCCACAGTGCGGTCGGCGCGCGGCACTTTCTTTCCCATGGCTTCGAATGTGATGGCGATGACGATGACGACGATGACGAAAGGACAACGACGGCGCCGCCGACGACGACCACGACCACCACGTCAATGGTGACTTGGCTTGCGGCCCGAACGCACGCGCCTACTGTGTTTTTTGGCGCGAGGTGGCTTGTGTGCGCAAGTTCCGCACGTAGCCCAGCACCGCCACGATGTCTCCATTTTTGCATCTGATGTGAGTCATATTCTTTTCCATTCGCCCCGCGTTCGTGTCAGCAGGTCGTCGTGGCGGTTAGCGTTCGGTGACATGCAGGCGCGGCGGTCGTCGCGAGATGTCTCAGAAACGCGCCACTTGCGAGATTTTCTCGGCACGATCCATCGTCTTTGCGACATCAGACCATGGATTCCCCTCCACACCTATACACGCATGTATTCAATGCAGAAGCACGCATAAATCAAAGGCGGTCCGACGAACATCAAGGAAGCACAGAAAGACATGCACAGAAGTTCAACGTTGTCCTCGGCCTCTTCCCAAGAGAGTAAGAGTGGTGCGCCATTTTTCCTGCGGATGTTGAGTAGGCACATGTGGAGGTCTGGGAGTCGAAGTTCCAAGTGTCGTCTGCCGCGCTCGTGTGCAGGTGACGCGTGGAGCGTTGCGCAACGCGTGGGCTGAAGTGGTTCGCTTTGCCTTCTGGAAAGACGGGGCGCAGTAGATTTAGGTAGAAGGTAGAACGCTCTTCGTAGTCGTGCAGGAGTACAGTGTGCTGAGAGGTCTTGCAGGTATGCAAGAGCTCGAGGCTCTCAACATGACTGTCGGCGTATCCCGTCACAGTCCATGTAGTGGATCGAGGCGTATCGTGCCTCCGGGTGTCCAGGGGCCTGGGGTCTAGTTCTCTCGTGTTGCAGGTTTCCCCGATTGTTAGGATATAGCATTATACAAGGTTGTCCTTGGTGCAGTTCCAGGTATCTTCCAGGGTTCTCACAGGGTGTCTACGTGTAGCATGGCTTATAATGGACATTTCAATCCGTCGGCGATTATCGAGTGCCACGTTTCAGACGTGTCATGTTGTGTTGCTTGTGTGGTGTCCTGTGGAATCGTCTGCGATCTTCTCCAAGTTTGGTGTTCGAGCCAGTGCTCCCCGGCGACGACGTCGACGACAACGACGACGTCGACGACCCTGCCGCTCGCTCGGGGCTGCCGTCTTCGCTGCTGCCGCGTTCGTTTCTCTCGAGGAGTATCTCGACGATTCTTACGTTTGGCTTCAAGGGCGGCCTACGCTCCCTCGTTCGGGTTTCTTGTTTTGCTGGGGCGTGTTCTAGGAGTCGTTCGGGCCGTTCGTTCGCGTGTTCTGCTTCACGAATGTTCTGTGCGTCCCTGGGGCCGTTCGTCCTGGCGTTCGTTGTTGGGGCCCTTCCCTGTGTAAGAGTCTCTCGAGATTCTCGGGGTGTTGCAGGTTCGGGCACCGCGCCTCGGTGTGAGTTCTTCGGCCTTCTCATTGTTTGTGAGTGGTTGGCGCGTGTTGTGGTCTGTGACACATTTGGGCTGTTCGTTGTGTGAGTCGTTCGGGCTCTTTCTTCGTCCTGCTGTGAGTCGTTCGGGCCTGTTCCTTGCGTGTGAGTCGTTCAGGCTCGTCGTGGTGTCCGTCGTCCAGGCCCGTCGTCCTGCATACACTTATTAATAAATTATTCATGTATAAAGATCAAATATTTCTTAAATCCTATGTATTAAAAACTGCCCTGTATGGGGCCGCGAAACGTGTGATGAGTGTGTCGAAATGGGTGTGGGTGACGCATGCGGGCGGTGGCACTGGGGCCTTCGGTGGAGCTCCCTATGGGGCCGCGAAGCGTGTGAGGGGTGTGCCGAAATGGGTGTGGGTGACGCATGCGGGCGGTGGCACTGTGGCCTTTGGTGGAGCTCCCTATGGGTCCGCGAAGCGTTTGAGGGGTGTGCCGAAATGAGCGTTGGTGACGCATGCGGGCGGTGGCACTGTGGCCTTCGGTGGAGCCCTTTTATGGGGCCACGAAACGTTTGAGGGGTGGTCCGCAATGGGTGTGGGTTACGCATGCGGGCGGTGGCGCCGGGGCCTTCGGTGGAGCTCCCTATGGGGCCACGAAACGTGTCAGGGGTGTACCGAAATGGGCGTGGGTGACGCATGCGGGCGGTGGCACCGTGGCCTTCGTTGGAGCTCCCTATGGGACCGCGAAACGTGTGAGGGGTGTGCCGAAATGGGTGTGGGTGACGCATGCGAGCGGTGGCACTGGGGCCTTCGGTGGAGCTCCCTATGGGGCTACGAAGCGTTGTGCTGAGTGGGTGAAGCGCAGGAGAGGAAGGAGGAGGGGGCGGAGGGGGAGGAGGAGGTGGGAGGAGGAAGGAGGCGGGAGGAGGAAAACGCGGGGCGCCGTCTCTCCAAAACGAGGACCCAACACCGCAGGATGGTTGGGAGTAAGGCCACAGATCTGCGACTATAATGTCGTGGTAATGTCGTGGTTACGCCAGTGTGTGGTCAGCGATTGGCGCTGTTGGGGCTTAGGGGTCACCACGTTGCGCCAAACCTTGATGAGCTCGCGTCGGGGCGCGGCAGAAATCTGTCGAGGTCCTTGCCAGCCTCCACCAGGCGCGGGTTGTAAACCACATCCTGTGCAAGCCACACCGTCCGGAGTCGCCGACCAGGGCCCTTCTAAGAAGGCCCACGCCTGCAGAGTCCCAGCGGTGGCCCTGGCGCGCTGGGAGATCGGGCAGGAGAGCGTCGGGGGCCGAGATCGAATCGGCCCATCGAGTTTGTCTGGAGCTTCTGTCCTCAGCCCGTCGCTTCTCCAGTGGCCGCGGCGTATGGCTGCGAGCGCTGTCTCACCGTCCGCGGGCCCCTGTTGGCGCGCGGCCGCCATTCGGCCACGCTCAGGGGGGGCAGGGGGAGGGGGGAAGGCCTCCAAGCGGGAGCCTTCTGCCCCCTCCCCCCCCCCTACCCCCCCTGGTGCGCGCCGCCAAGGAGCCTCTCCGCAGTCGCGTTCCGTGAGGTTCTCGCTGGCTGCCTCCGCTCGCACCCCGAGGCCCAAGGCCCCCGCCTCCCGAGAGGCACCCCCGCCCTCCTGCAGGGCGCCCCCCCCCTCCCCCCCCTCCCCACTTTTTTGCGGTTCGCTGCCTCCTCCCGTGGCCAATGCTAGCTTCCGCCGCAGTCAGCGGTTCCGCAGGCTTGAGAGCCTAGATTGGATCTGAATTCGCACTCTACCTGTAAGGAGAAATGACTGGTCTACTCCTTGTAAGTTCGGATGCAACTTCTGGGAGGTCAAATTCTGGTTTTGCCCTGGTCCCGAAAAGTCGGCTTTCATCGCTGCTTAAATCCCGCTTTCACCGGCTTAAAAATCCTGCTCAGGTCCGTGCCCTTTCCGGCGTCACAGCTCCGAAACGGGGTTATCCTCCTTGATCTCTCCGACGAAAGCCTCCTATGGCTGCCTCCAGATGTAAGGACGGTCCTTTGGAAGGCACCTCTGGCCTCCGAGAGGATGGCTTTCACAGAGGGGGCCCCCTCGCAGCCCCCCCCCGCATTCGGCGGCCGCTCTGGCCCCGCCCCCTCCCACGCCCAGTAGGCGTCCACGAGGGCCCCACCTTTTGTGTTCTTGCTTCTCGATTTGAACAGGAGCCGCCCTCCTCCTCCTCGCTCTATCCCTTCGTCAATCCTCCTCCTCCTCCTCCTCCTCCTCATACCTGCATCCTCATACCTCACCTCTTCGCCCCCCCTCCTCCTCCTCCCCTCCTTCTCCTCCACCTGCCTCACACCTCCCGCCCTCCCTCCTCCTCCGCAGCCCTCGGGAAGTCCCAAAACGAAGCTTCCGCTCGGAGGGATTCCGCCACACGGGCGCACGCCAGCCATTCTCGCCTACTTCGTTGCTCGGGGCTCCTGAGTCTCGACTGGGCCCGCGCACACGCCCGTGCGGTGTGCGCAACAACCGGCGGCCAGCCGGGAGGGTGAAGCGAGAAGGGTGGGCCGGGCCTTCTCTGCCGCCTTCGGCCTAGAAATTTCGAAGTCTTCCCCGAAGGCTCAGACACATCTCAGAACTGACCGGAGGGCTACTCCTGGCTCCGTCCCCTTCTGAGATCGAGCTCCCTCCCTCCTCCTCCTCCTCCTCCTCTCCCCCAACCTCCTCCTCCTCCTCCTCCCTCCTCCTCCTCCTTCCTCCTCACCTCCTCTCCTCCCCTCCTCCTCCTCCTCCACCTCCCCCTCTCAACCACCCTCCCCCTCCCCCTCCTCCCCTCGCTCGCCGCCGGGCAGGGCTGCGCCGCGGACCTCCAGTGGCCGCCCCCCCTCCCCCCCCTCCTGGGCAGAGGTCCAGGAGTTCCGCGAGAAGCAGCGCCAGAGGATCCAGGCGCTCCGCGAGGCGCGGGCCCCCGCCCTCTCCGCTGCTGCCCCCTTCCGCTGGGCGCGGGCCCACGCGCGGGCCCCGGCGTGGGCTCGACGCGGGTCCGACGCGGGTCCGGCGCGGCCTCGGTGCTCCCCACGGGCTCGGCGCGGGCTCGGCGCGGGGAGCGGCGCGGTGGGGCGGGCGAGGTCCTCCGAAGAGCAGCGGCGGCGATAGGGGCGAAGAGCCCAGGGGCGGGCGCTGCACGTATTCGCCCGGGAGCCCGTTCCTGAGGCGTGGATCATCGGCGCACCTGAGTACGTGTATTGCTCTCCCCTGGGCTATTCGCCCCTATCGTCGCCTCTGAGAAGACGCGGCATGACCCAACCACCTTTTTCCTCCCTCCTCCACCGGGGCGGCCAGCCTGTCGCCATCTCTCAGGACGTGGCGGCCAGCCTGTCGCCATCTCTCAGGAGGGAAGAAACACACACACAGACACAATTTCTTCGTCGATTCCCCGGAAGCTATGCGAACGTATGGGAAGGAGGGGGGAAGACAGAACTCAGAAAATACCTGAAAATATGGGGATCCCCCCCCGGGCCCCCCCCCCCCCCCCCCCCCCCCCACGGGGGGGGGGGGGGGGGGGGGGGGGGGGCAAAAAAACCCCCTGGGAGTTGTGTTATTTATTTAGGCGGAGCGAGGCGGAGGCGAGGCGGAGGCGGAGGCGGAGGCTGGGGCGGAGGCGGAGGCGAGAGGAGAGGAGAGGAGGAGAGAAGGAGGAGGAGGAGGAGGCGAGGGGAGGAGGCGGAGGAGGAGGAGGAGGAGGAGGAGGAGGAGGAGGAGGAGGCGGAGGCGGAGGCGGAGGAGGAGGAGGAGGAGGAGGAGGAGGAGGAGGAGGTTGCGGGCCCATAGAGGGGCGACCGAATCACGATCACGGGAAGCACTCGAGGGGAACGGCATGGCGAACACTCCCGCACGTAGGGGGCCGTGCCGGCGGGGGCCTGCGTGGCCACGTCCGCGGCCTCCCGCAGCACGTCACCAGGCGGGGACGTACCCCTCGAAGCCCAAAGAAAACGGCCTGTATCCACATCGAGGGGGGTAAGTCGGCCAGTGGAGGCCCGGCCACGCCAATGGGGGTAGGGGGTTGGTTAGCCGATGCCCAGTGCAGTCGAGCAGGCCGGGCGAGGAGACACTGTGCACATGGCCCAGGATCGGGTCTTTGTGCCTTGGAGCCGGGGCGGGAGGGCCCCCTTGCACCGTTCCTGGGCTCAGGGTGGGCCTGGCCAGATTTGGTGTATGTGCATAGTTCTCTTTTCCTCTGGTTGAGCGAGCACACCAGCTCCCCGCCTGCAGGTGCGCGGCTCTGCGTCGCCCTCTTGCTGGACGCCCTCCGGAGAAGCGAGCCGCAGCGCCAGCAGTTTGCCGGCGATCGGCGGGGGTGGCAGGATCTGACGCTGTGCTGCGCCCCTCCTCCTCACCAGGGGGGTCGAGGTTCGAGGCTCGAGGTTCCCTCCTCCCTCCCTCCCTCCCTCCCTCCCCCCTCCCCCCTCCCTCCCTCCCCGCACTCCTTCGGTAGCAACTCGTGGGGGCCTAGCATGTCCTCGAAGCTCCGCCTGCAGTTCCCGCTGGCGTGCGCCAGTGCTCGGCAATCGTCGAGGCAGCGCCGCCTTGGCGTTGCTAATTGATAATGAAAATTCCGATTATGATGTTCATGATGATGACGATGATGGTGATGCTGCTGCTGATGATGGTGTTGATGATGATGATGATGGTGATGATGATGATGAGGAGGAGGAGGAGGAGGAGGAGGAGGAGAAAGAGGAGGGGGAGGAATATGATAATGAGGAGGAGGGGGAAGGGCGGGAAAGCCGGAGGTCCACTCGGATTGCCTGTGTATGTGATCCGAACAGCCCCTCGACTTCGATTTCGAGCTCCTCACGTCCTCAGGGATGGTAGGGGTTTCACTACCCATTCTGTGCGTGTTCAAGTGATCCCAACAAACTCTCGAATTCGAACCCAAGGTCCAGACTCTCCGAGGGAGAGCTGGAGGTCGTCCACTTTGACCGCGTACCGATGAAGGCGAAAATGAACATCGGGTGATGATGAGGTTAATGGTGAGATCAATGACGACGACGATGACGATGATGATGACGATGATGACGATGCTGATGCTGATGCTGCTGACGATGACGATGTTGATGCTGATGCTGCTGATGATGCTGATGATGCTGCTGATGCTGCTGCTGCTGCTGATGATGATGATGACGATGATGATGATGATGATGATGATGATGATGATGATGATGATGCTGATCATGTTCATGATTCTGATCATGATCAGGATGATAGGGAGTGAGGATGATGGGTCCAATCGACGCCAGGGCATTGGACGCCCCCGCTGTGGCTCTGGGGTTCATTTGGCTGCATACCTGCTTCGAATTCCGACCCCCAGCCAGCATTTCAGAAATCTGACCTGCGGGGGTACTTACGGCTCGCGCGTGGTGGCCCATGGGCCCGTCCTGGGATGCGCTCCGGCCGTGACGACGACGGCAAGCCCCAGAGGCCCCAGAGCGGTCGAAGGGCGTCCAAGAGCGCAGATCGTCGAACACCGATCCTCCTCGTCCTGCCCCCTCCTCCATCTCATTGGCGGCGCGCGCCAGGGTACAGTCGGGGCCCTGAAGAAGGAACCCTTTTCGTTGGGGAGGGGCTCCGTGTTCCTTGTTTTTTTCGCAGCTTGCCTTGGATTTTCCTCAGGTTTTCGACCGGACATCGAAGTTCAACTTATGGAAAAAAGGGGCCTCGTTCCTTATTTATCGTTCGTTAGGTCAAGGCCTCGACTGTGTGGCGCGAGCGGGGCGGCCCTGTGAGGAGGCGAGGGGCCTCGGAGGCGGCCGGGGCCTTCTCGGAAGGCCGGGGGCTCCTCAGAAGGCTTCCCTTGGCAGCGGGCGGGGGGCCCGGCGGCCTCCAAGACGCCCCCCCCGCCGCCTTCCGAGAGGAGGCTCCCCGCCTTCGCCCCGCCTCCGCCAGAAGGCGGTCCCCCCTCGCGTCGCCCCCTGCGCGGGCGCCGCCGATCCCCCTCCTTCGCCCCTCCTCCTCCTCCTCCGCCTCCTCCTCCTCCTCCTCCTCCTCCGCCTCCTCCGCCTCCTCCTCCGCCTCCTCCTCCGCCTCCTCCTCCTGGGGGGGCGCCGTCGTCGCCGTCGGCGTCCGTCCTTGTGTATTGCGTCTTTTTTGTTTGTTTTGTTTTGTAGTTAGAATCTGATCATTCTGGTGTAACCAGCGTGGACCCCTGCGCCGTCGGCGTCGTCGCGCCGTCGGCGTCGTCGGTCGGCGTCGTCGCCGTCGTCGTCGCCGTCGGCGTCGTCGCTGGTCGTCCCCTCTCCTTCCTGTCCCGGCCCTGCGCCCCCCCGCGCGGGCGCGCGAGGACGGCGGCGGCGGCGGCGATGGCGGCGGCGCTCGACGTCGCCCTCGAGGCCCAGAGAGAGCCAAGAGCGTGCACGGACCTCGATCCCTGAACTAGGGGGCCACATGCGAACCCTACCCCTAGGGCGACGAGATCTATACATATCCACTGCTCCTGGCCAGGCCCATCCTGGGCCCAGGAGCTGTGTATATGCCTCCCTGGCCAGGCCAGGAGGGCGTATACACCGCTCCTGGGCCCAGGATGGGCCTGGCCAGGAGCAGTGGATATGCATAGATCTCGTCGCCCTAACCCCTACCCCCCACGATTTCTGAGGGGGAGGGTGGGGTTCACTCCGCTCGGGAGCTCCCGAACAAAGTAGTGAACCCCCCCCCTCCCCCTCAGAAGTCGTGGGGGGCAGGGGCGGGGTTCGCACGTGACCCCCTACGAGCCCAGACCTCCGACCTCTCGCCGCCCTCGAGCCTCGGGGCCTCCGAGGGCCCCTCGGCCCTCCCCCCCTCTCCTCGGGGCCGCTCCTCTCCGCCCCGGGGGCCTCTCCCGGCGGCCTCTCCGGGCCCCGGGGAGAGGCCTCGGGAGGCCGAGGGCTTGCAGGGACAGCTTCTGCCTCGATGCGCTTGCGTTTTGGTCCCCTCGTGGGGGAGGAGGAGGTCGAGAAGGAGGAGGAGGAGGTCGAGGAGGAGGAGGAGGAGGTCGAGGAGAAGGAAGTCGAGGAGGAGGAGGACGAGGAGGAGGAGGAGGTCGAGGAGGAGAAGGAGAATCTCTGGAGGCTGCTGGGCCACGCCCTGGCCGTCCGGCGGCTGCTCGGGACGATCTGGGCACCCCCAGGGCGCCCTCGGCGAGGCGGCAGCTGCCGGAGAGCACCCCCGAGGCAGGCGAGCTGCGGAGGAGGGCCGACAGGAGCCGCTTTTCGAACCCTGAACATCGAGCCCCTTTCTCGGACATTCCCTCTGAGACCCTGAATTTCGAGCCCCTTGAATTTTGAGCCCCTTTTTACCAGCCTGGAACATATCCCTATCCCTATGCTGGGCACCTCCTCATCACGATGCCAATCTCAGGAATTCCCTTATTTTTTGATGGCGAATTCCTAAGATTGTCATCGCCTTTTTGCGTGTCAATCTTAGGGATAGGGATACGTTCGAGGCTGGTAACCTTTCTCGGACATTCGTCTCTGTAGGACGGTCGGCGCCGAGCGAGAGGTGGAAGCGAGAAGGAGACGGCCTCCGCAGAAGGCGGCGGGGCTTCTCAGAAGCCCTCCGGCCTTTTGAGAGGTTGGTTCTGTGTCAGGAAACGTCTCAGAAGGCCGGAGCGGCCAGAGGACTTCCGAGCCGTCTGAGGAGGCCCGCCCCTTCTCTCGGGCCGAACGAAAGGGGATAGGGAAGGGGGGGTTACGAAATCTGCTGCATGCAGCTGGTTTCGGGCCCGCCGCCAGGCCCATGCCTCGACACAGGGGCGCCTCCCAGCGCCGGGAGGTGCCGGGAGAGTCAGCTGCGCGAGCTGCTTCTCTGCCCTGCCCTCTGCTATCCCCCCTCGTCGTTCCCCCCCGATTCTCTCTCCCCCCCCCGCCTCTTCGGCGATGGGCCTGCGCGCGCTCGCGCTCCCGCGCCCGTGGGGGGCAGGAGCGCGCCGCAGAGCGGGGGCGCCAAGCTGACCTCGGCGTGAGGGCCAGGGGCTCTCGCCGCGCCCGCTGCCCGGCGGCCCCCACGGTTTCAACATATGGGGAATCCTTTTATTTGTGTGTATTTATTTGTGTGTCTCAGGGCCCCTTCAATATCGGCGGTGTTCCTCCACCGAAGGCAGAAGGTCCCGATCTCGGCGATGGTGGCAGTATTCTGGCTTCCAAGGCGACCGAGACATGAACACCAGCGCCGAAATCTGGGATCATCTCCCCCCTGTGGAGGCAGCCCCCTGTCTTGGTGTTGGTGCCCATTTCCAGGCCTCCAATTCTCGTCGGAGAAGGAGAAGGCTTTCTCAGAAGGCGGCGGGGCTTCTTCTCAGAAGCCTTCCGGCCGTCTAAGAAGTTTCCTGCGTCTTCGGAGAAGTCTTCGAAAACCTCCTCAGGAGGCCGGAGGACTTCCGAGCCCGCTGAGGAGGCCCGCCCCCGCTCACTTCCCCCCTGGGCTCGCCGCCGACTTTCGCCATGGAGGAGACTGGTCCTGGGGGTTATGTTGCCGTTCATGGGAGCTGTCGCGACGCGTCCGTGTCCCTCCGTGCTGCTTCCGTGCCGCTTCGTTGCCTCCGCGGCCGTCTTGGGAGCCTCTCGGCGGCCGTCTCGGTGCCCCCTGGGAGCGCTTCGGGGCCGTGTTGGAGCCCTCTTGCGGGCCCCTTGGGCGATTCTTTGGTCTCCTTGGGTCATTGGGCCGACTCGGGGCACTCTTGGGGGCCCCTTGGGTTGTCTGGGAGTTATCCTGGAGGCCTCTTAGAAGCCTCTCGGACCGTCTTGGGCGGCCGGAAACCCGAACAGGCGAGAATCCCCAAATCCTTCAACAACCGAAAGAAGATCAATGGTTTTGGCTTCCTCGGGCTCTCCAGGAGGGCCTCTTGGAGCCCTCTTGGGCCGCCTTGGGGTCCTTTTGAGCTTTCTTGAGGCCGTCTCGGGAGCCTCTTGGGCCGTCTTTGGGCCATCTTGGGCCGTCTTAGTTTCATCTTGCCTGTCTTGGACACAGTCTTGGAGGCCATCTTGGCCGTTTGGAGAAAAAGTTCGAGGGAGGTGATCTCAGAGGCACGCGCGCCGTCCGGGGGGACTAAAAAACTTCAGAAACCTTCCAGACAACAGACAAGCATGACGGAAAGAGCGCTAGCGAGAGAAGTCTTGTACAGGGCTTTAACCCTTTCGAGGAGTGTCCGAGGGGGGGCTTGGCGGAGCGAAATTTCTGACATGCCCTCCAATGGTCATGTTGGCGGCTTTTCCGGCCCTGGAGGCCTCACGACAGCCCAGATGGCTTCCAAGACGGCCAAAGAAGCTTCCAAGACGGTCTCAGAGAGACCAGGAGGACTCGGAGACTGTCCAAGAGTGTTCCCCGATGGCCCCTGATAGCCTCGTCACGGCCTAAGAGGTCACCACGACGCCTTCAGAGGCCCCCAAGGGGACTCCCAGGAGGCCCCGAGGAGGAGACAACAATCAGTCGTCCGTGGTTCTAGATGGATTTTCTGGCTTCCTGCTTTTCGGGCCACGAACGGCCAAAGACGGCCCAAGACGGTCCAACACGGCCCCCTAGGCCTTACAGATCGCCCATGAGAGGTTGTGCTTGCATGAAGGACGGGGCCAAGAATTCAGGAAAACCTTTTCTGGGACCTGGTCTAAATTCGGGCCAACGTTTCGCCAGGAACCGGCCCCCTTTATTACATCGTGCAGGCACCTGAATTCGATTGGGGACTCCACCGGCGACGGCCAAGAATAAAAATCTATGACCTTACACAGAGCAACCCCCCTCCTCCCATGAGGCACCCAAGAGGGCCCCAAGACGGCCCCCAAGAGAGCTCCAAGACGGCCCCTAAGGGGGCCCGGATATAGAGCCCCCAAGAAGGGACAGGGGAAGCCCCCGCGAGGGCCTGACGGGGCTCCGGGAAGCCCACGTCCCCCAGGAGTGTTCACGAGGCTCCTGGGACGGTCCAGTGGCCTCCCGAGGTGATCGACCCCTGACACGGCCTTGGGAGGCAAAGCGCACAGAATTTGTATTTTTGGTTTCTTGTTTCGCTTGTTGTTGTTGTTGTTGTTGTTGTTGTTGTCGTTGTTGTGGTTGCTGCAGTTGCAGTTGCAGTTGCTGTTGTTGTCGTTGTTGCTGTTGTTTTTGGTTGTCGTTGTTGCTGTTGTTGTCGTTGACGTTATTGTCGTTGTTGTGGTTGTGGCTGTTGCGGTTTCTGTTGCTGTTGCTGTTGTTGTTATGGTGGTGGTGGTTGTTGCTGCTGTTGTTGTAGTTGTTGTGGTTGTTGTTGTTGTTGTAGTTGTTGTTGTTGTTGTTGTTGTTGTTGTTGTTGTCGTTGTTATTGTTGTTCTTGTTGTTCTTGTTCTTGTTGCTGCTGTTGTTGTAATTGGTGTTGTTTTTGTTGTTATTGTGGTTGTAGTTGTGGCTGTTGTAGTTGTGGTGGTGGTGGTGGTGGTGGTTGGTTGTTGTAATTGTCGTCGTCGCCGTCGCCGTCGCCGTCGTCGTTGTCGTCGTCGTCGTCGTCGTCGTCGTTGTTGTTGTTGTTGTTGTCGTTGTTGTTGTTGTTGTTGTTGTTGTTGTTGTTGTTGTTGTTGTTGAACATTATTTATTCTAAAGAATAATTATTGTTGGGCCCCCTGGTGCGCGCCCCCCCTGCGCCGCCTAGGCCGCAGCTACATTTTCATCATTTTCGTGAGGAAGCCTCAGAAAAGAGGGTGTGTACAGGATCCGGTTGTTTTGTTGTAATCCGCTTTCCCTTGCAAAAAACAATAGAAAATGACATTTCTTGTTCTAATATAATCAAATTTCAAGAATCCCTTGCAAAAAATAAGGTAAAGTGGACATTCGCGCGCGCAAGACGAAATCCTTCCAAAACCTTAGTGTTCGCAGCGATTTTAACATAAAAACATCAAAAAACCAATGGTTTTTCAACAAAAAATTGTCAAAATCTCATCCCGCGCGCTCTTGCGGATTCGTAGGAAACCCAACACTTTTTAAACATTTCTGTCAAACGGGCTTTTGCGAGCAACTTTTTCGAACTTCTGCAACAACGGTTGCGCACCTGCCAGGGCCATCATCCCTGTCAAATAATACCATGCGGGACACATTCGTTTTTTCTTCGCGCGCGCACGCCGTCGTCGTCGGCCGCGGGGCCCTGAATAGTAGCCACGGTCGTCCGCATGCCACGAAGTGAAGTGTCCGAACGTCATAGGGCGGGAAGCTGGGTGTGGGTGGTGGCGAAGAGTCGTTTGGAAATTTGGTAGAGCTTGAACCGGCCCCCCCACAAAGTGGGGGTATTGCCCGCCTCCTATGAAAACCCTGGCACTGGTGAGAACGAAGTGTCCCCACGTGCTAGTAATTGTTGTTGTTGTTGTTGTTGTTGTTGTTGTTGTTGTTGTTGTTGTTGTTGTCTTTTCGGTCTCAGATCTGCCGAAGACGTCCTGAGGGCCACCGAGATTGCCCCAGGACGGCCCAGGAGGCTCCCAAGAGGCTCCGAAGAGGGGCCCCAAGACGGCCCAGTAGGGCCTCAAGACGCAGAGAATCCCAAGACGGGCCAAAGATGGCCTCAAGATGCTCCAAGGCAGCTCAAGAGGGCCATAGGAGGCCGCAAAGAGGCCCAAGAGGGCCCCAAGCGTTTCAAGACGGCCTCAGAGCCCCCATGGACGGCCCCAACTGCTTCCAAGAGGATCCCCAAGACGGCCTGAGGAGGCAAAGCGCATAGATCTCTTCAAGGTTTTGAATTGTTTTTGGTGCTCTCGCCTTTTCGGCCCATATCGGCCGAAGACGGTTCTGCGGGCCTCCGAGACTGTCCCGAGACGGGCCAGGATGCTCCCAAGAGGGCCTTTAGACGGCCCCAGTGAGCCCCAGCTCGACCGCAGAGAGCTCCAAGACGGTTCAAGAGGTGCCCACGAGGGCCCCGAGAAGCTCACAAGAGGGCCGAAGATGGCCCTCAGAGGGCCCCAAGACGGTCCAAGCCCAGGAAGGCCCCAGAACGGCCAAACAGGGCCCCAAGCCATCCGCAAAGGGCACCCATAGGATTCCCCCCAGGACGGCCCAATGACGGATGCAGCTTTGAGGCCAAGGCTCCCAAGGAGGACCAGGTGATCTGACAGTCCTTTTTACACCAGTCGGTCACGTAAAAAGCTTTGAACGCCAAGGGTCCCACGAGCGAACAGTGGCGCAGAAAGCTCCTAACGCCAAGGCTCCCAAGAGCGAACGGTGACGTACACAGATCTTAGCGCCAAGGCTCCCAAATGCCAACGGTGACGTGAGCAGCCCTTAGCTCACGGTGACGTACTTCACATCAAGGATTTTCAAAGCGAGCTGTCAGGTGAAAAAACCCTAAGCAACGCGCTCCCAAGAGCAATCGATGACGTGAAACAAGTCTTTACACCAAGGCTTCAAAGAACGAGCGGTGACGTGAAATAGCTTTTGGCGCCAAATTCCCCAAGAGCGAACGGTGCCATGAGCTCCCTCGGAAAAGTTTATGAAGCGATCTTTCCGTTCCCGTTCCAAAAGGGACAAGGCCCGTTGGCGGATACTTCTGATGATCTTGTGGCCAGACAAGACAACAGTCTCCAGATGCCGAAACCGAAGAAAAACGCCAGGATTCCAAACATTATCCCGGCGAAGGACCCAACCATGTACAGTTGTGAGCACCGCGTTTGGCCATCGCTTTCGTTAGAGCTCCCGATGGGACCACGAAGCGTGCGAGGGGTGTGCCAAAATGGATGGGGAACCGCATGCGAATTGCGCCGCGGAGGCACTCGGTGGAGCTCCCCATGGGGCCGCGAAGCGTGCGATGAGAGTGCCAACATGAGTGGGGATCCGCATGCGAACTGCACCACGGAGGCACTCGGTGGAGCTCTCTATGGGACCACGAAACGTGTGAGGGGTGTGCCAAAATGGATGGGGAACCGCATGCGAATTGTGCCGCGGAGGCACTCGGTGGAGCTCCCTGTGGGGCCAGGAAGCGCGTGAGGGGTGTGTGCCGAAATGGGCGTGACGCCCACACGCGAACTGCGCCACTGAGGCCTTCGGTGGAGCTCCCTCCGGGGCCACGAAGCCTTTGAGGGGTGTGCTGAAACGGGATTGGCACCCACATGCGATCTGCGCCACTGGGACTTTAGCTGGAGCTCCCCATGTGGCCACGAAGCGTGTGAGGAGTGTGCCGAACGGGGGTGACGCCCACATTCGATCTGTGCCACTAGGGCCTTAGGTGGAGCTCCCTATGGGGCCACGAAGCGTGTGAGGGGTGTGCCGAAACGGGGGTGACGCCCACATGCGAACTGCGCCAATGGGACCTTAGCCGGGGCCACCTATGGGGCCACGAAACGTGTAAGCGGTGTGCTGAAACGGAGGTGACGCCCGCATGCGAATTGCGTCATGTGGACCTTAGCTGGAGCTCCCAAGGGGGCCACGAAGCGTGTAAGGGGTGTGCCGAAACGGGGTGGGAGGAGGAGGGAGGGGGCAGCGGGAGGAGGAGGAGGAGTGACGCGGGGCGCTGTCTCTTCAAAACAAGGACCCGACACCACAGGATGGTTGGGAAAAACAATCCATCGGAGGATCCTCGATCCTCAGCCCTCCTTCCTCACTGCCGCGCCGCCCGGCCGCCCTTTTTTATGTCAGGGCCGCGCGCGCGCAAGCACAGACTTCCCCACCTTGCTGGAGAGGGACCGCCAGAGGCGCGCCTGTCCATTCATATTGCGGGCTCAAATGGCCAGGAGGGGGATGATGATGATGATGATGATGATGATGATGATGATGATGATGATGATGACGATGATGATGATGTAGATGATGATGATGATGATGATGATGATGATTATGATGATGATGATGATGATGATGATGATGATGATGATGATGATGATATTGCTGATGATGATGATGCTGATGACAGTCATGCTGCTGATTATGCTGACGATGCCGACGACGATGCTGATGATCATGGTGATGATGATAGCGATGATGGTGATGCTGCTGCTGTCTGGTAATGATGATGATGATGATGATGGTGATGATGGCGATGATGATTGTGCTGCTGCTGCTGATGATCATGATGCAGGTGATGATGATGCTGCTGATGATGATGATGACTAGGATGATAATGCTGATGATGATGATGGTGATGGTGATGGTGATGATGATGATGATGATGATGATGATGATGATGATGATTTTGATGATGATGGTGATGACGAGGACGATGATACTGATGATGTTCACGATGATAGTGACGATGATACTGATCA